TCGAGCAAAATTCGGGCCCCCATAACTTTTTAAGGAGAACCATTTTGCAGATTTAATTCCCATTTTCGTAAACAGCATTCAAAACCCTATCGATCTATCTGGGTCTGAATTCAAAGTTCCAAGATAAGTAGACTACCCCTCCCTGGTTAGTCTCATATGAGGGGCAGTTTTTGATAGACAATAGTTTGGTACTTTACAGATCTACTTTGCTTTTCCCCAAGCTTTTTCTGGTAGGGCTGTAATGTCTGAAGAGAGGCTTGGATTGCCAATGTTCTTTACATAGGATAAGATATTCCTACCGTAGCAGATTTCTCCCTCCTTCCTCTACACTCGATATAAAAGCAAATAAAGCAACGTTCGTCGTCAAGTAGCCCTTTTTCGAGGAACGAATAAATGGTCTACAAACAAGGTTCATTTCACGATCCCGTCCTTTATCCTGACTAAATATGGATCAGCACCACAGTTGGTCTTCTTGTCAAAGAAAACTTCCTTCATGGATTATCTGACTATAAAGGATAGACTAGAAAGGTCTCCGGTGCTGGCCTATTCTGCTTTACGATGCACCCACTCATTCAACTTGAATGCTCAATCGCTCTAACTATCGAATACTCAAATGACCTCACCGATAACTTTTGTGGTAGGACAGAAATCAGGGGTTCTGCTCCATAGACGAGATCGGTACACCTTAACGATCCCTCAAGCATAAGTGGCCGGGTTGGCACCGGCGGGTATCGGTCCATGACTAAATCCCCTTGTCATACGTGTGGTGCCAGCCACGTTTGATGCCATCGTACTCGCATGTTTTCCGAAAATAGTGACATAAATCGAATGGCAGAGAGTTTTTTTCTCTTTTTGTTCCTGTCCATGCTCTAATACTGTTTGCACACCTTTCTGGTGACCGTGGTGTTTATGAGTTCATTTGTAAGTTTACGATAGTTACCCTGCCATATGAAATGCTCACTTATATTTGAGCAACTTTTTAGGAAAGCCACAAAAAAACCTTTCAGTCATATTCCTTTTTTGCGTTGTTATCCGCTCCAGGTCGGCGCGTTCCTGATACCGTCGTTTCTACGCAAACATCTGCGCAGAAACGTACATATCCGCAACGAGGCCGTTTTTCCTTATTATATTTGACGTTCTTAACATTGATAGCTTCGCCTTCTGATGGCTTATATGCCATAGCTTATCAGCAGTCACAAGTACCACGTGGTGAGCCGTTCAGCCGAAATCAGCCTTCAGGACCGTTTGTGAGTAATTTGTGAGAAATTTAAGGAATGTTGATATCTTGTTGTTTTGTCAAATCGTTTTTCTCTGTTCCACGAAAACTGGGTTTTACTAACGAGAAACAATATCAGTTTCCAGGTTTAAGTTCTGTATATCAAAATGATGTTAAACAACTAAGTGGAAGATTGGACATCTGATTCTTACAGTCTTACCTGTTACACCAGTGATAGCCGTTCGCCCACTATTTTGCCACTCAAGATAATAAGTTTCCTTTTGGAACCTCTGTGATCATTTATGATGTCCGTGATGTTTCATAAAAAATATAATCGCCGAGCTATGGATTGTGAATAGTGAATGCCTAACCAAAGTGTCATTTATAAGTACCCAGTTATCGGGGTTCGAGGTGTTCACCACCAGTTGCATCATTGTCGTACGAATACAGAATTAACAAATGATTTGTTTCAATTTCCGTTCTTCGTGTGCTCATCTTTATCCTGACTACATCAACCATGAATAGGGATTTGTTGAGGAAATTTTTTCCAGAGACCAATATAAGTAGTGCAACTTATTAATAACATATGAAAATGATTGGAAAAAAGCCTAGCTTTGCGGAATCTGTAATGGAAAGTATTCGAAAGAAGGAGATACAACTCTGAACCCCAGACGGATCTCTTTCCTTCTCGTAAAACTGATGCATACGGTCGGTTTCCAGTTCTCGAATTTTGTTCATTATATGAAGTTTTGTTCATTATAACAACCTTTGCCATTGTGAAATACTGAGAGTGAAAATCGATTTGCCGATCGTATGTTATCCTTATGTGAGGTACAGCTGTTAAATCTTTGTGAAATTTGAGACACATTTGGCACGATAAGATTTTATTATATTATGGAATTTGAGGATTAAGCCATGTAGTTACTTCATTTCAAAAAAGGTCCCCTACGAAACAATAACCGAGTAACAAAGGTAGTCTCGAAGTGAGCAACAAATTCACGCCACCTGGCGACAACGTGGGATTCACTTTTTCAAATATTTGGTAATTATTGGGACTGGCATTCATTTTGAAGCCATACAAATGTACAATTCGGTAATAACAAAAGGATGTACCTAGTCGCAGAAATCTGAATAGCCTATTAGGGTAAGAAATTTGAGTGTATGAAAAACACATTGATACATAGAACCACCCGCTCGATACTAGGCCTATTTGACGAAGATGGTGATTAACATTTTCTGCTATTCAATAACAAAAAATCACAGTAAAATGAAAAACAGAGGAATACAGAGAGTGGAATTAACATGCCTCAGATATCCGTTTTTCGGCGTCGTATAAACTTTTCTTGTAATGTCCACGTTCTATAGGGTGGCCCCGTGAGAACTCAAACACTAAAAACTCGAAAAATGTAGAGGTATATTCCGGTTTTGTACACTCAACTTTTTTACTAGTAAAAAATTAGTTTGTTAAAAACTCTAACACAATAGCCTACACGATATAGCTCGCTCAGCTGACCAGCCCATTCGATCGATGAGATATCGGCATATCAAATAGCCAGTGCGATTCAGACCGTGCGTGCAATGCACACCAATCAATTTCTCGCCTTAAAAAGACATGTTCGAAATGACAATTGAAAAGGAAGTAGGAAAGAAATTATATAGACTTTTATCAATTCATTCTCTTTCATTGACTTGTGGTGTAATGTCCTCACTATATCAAAAGAAAAGTATAACGAATTGGAATCAGTGGAGCTTGTCAAACAGTATGAAAAACGGAATAAAGTAGAATAATTAAAATGAAGCAAAACATGGATCGTTTCGCCTCTTCGCCACACGGACCACCAATTCCACCTTCCTAGAGGCTCATCGGTGGTTCAGGGTTAATGAACAAAGGAATGAGTAAAATACTTGTTCAAAACAGTTATTACACAAATGAAGAATAAGTGAGCCGTGAATAGTGTAAACAAGTTATAGTCGGAAAAACTGTAAAAAAATAAGCCAACAATGAGGAATTCCGAAATATAAGCCATATCACTGATCTCTTCTATCACCTTTCTTCTGGATCAGGTAAGAAATCTCACCGTTACTAGTGTCGCTGATGTACTCGTCAACGACGTTTAAAAATTTCTTGACGATATCTTCACGGTTACTAACTTCGTGTCCCGGGCAGTTCATTTTTCTAGAAATTGGAAAGAAATGTCGATTACTCACTCATATAGCAGCAGTACAACTTATATAAAAAAAATAAATAAAATTAGCAAAGTTGATAGTTTTATGTAATATCTTACACATATTTGATATTATGGTTTGCCCACTCTGCTTTATTGTAATATCTGTCAGTGTTTGTGAGATCGACTANAACGACGTTTAAAAATTTCTTGACGATATCTTCACGGTTACTAACTTCGTGTCCCGGGCAGTTCATTTTTCTAGAAATTGGAAAGAAATGTCGATTACTCACTCATATTGCAGCAGTACAACTTGTATAAAAAAATAAATAAAATTAGCAAAATTGATAGTTTTATGTAATATCTTACACATATTTGATATTATGGTTTGCCCACTCTGCTTTATTGTAATATCTGTCAGTGTTTGTGAGATCGACTACCATACCGATAACTTTACCTGCCTGACGAGCCTGAAATACAAGCTAATGTCTACCAAAACCCTTTACCAACAGACGAAAAAACTGTAGCCAACCCTTACATAAGTGACAATTCGATCAACATCGAAGTAGTCATCGTCGGTCAAGTCGTGCTTCCCCGAGAAAAACGATTTATCTAGCGGAGTTTTAAATGCGACAAATCGTGTCCCTTCCAAGTCTCGACCAACTGGATCGTAATTCAACCACCTTAACAAAAATATAGAAGTAAAGTGATGAGCAATCAGTGAGCATATTTCAAGTTTAAAAGGGAACAGTAAAAGCCATAAACTCTGTGTGTTTGCTTGTGAAAGGAAAATTAAGAAACCGAAAGAACCATGAAAACAAATCGAATTGTGATGTCCTTTCGGTCTATGATGAGGATGGAATAGCACTCTTCAGCTGCCGCATGAGGCTTTCGGGTAAGTCATCCGCATCAAAAGTGTTAGAGCTATTCATATAGGTGTCGAAAGAACACATTTTTCTGTTGAGTGGAAGCGATCACTGAAGTAATAAAGAAAACTGACCCATCCCGAGGATAGAAAACAGAGGACAGGAAAAAAACAACAGAGTGCGCAACAAAAGAAAAAATGGAAATCTATAGGCTACCCTATTTTTGCGGCTCAGGGTATTCTTTAATCCTGGTGCGCGGCCAAAATACGACCTTATGTTCCCCGGACGGTTAAGCTCTGTGTTTTATCATGCATATGGTAGTTAGGGCACTGTTCTGACGCAAATCATGTGGTTACAAAACTCTACACATGTTGTTCAACTGAGCTAGAAGCGCCAGGGGAATATACAGAAAACAGCTACCATTATACCGAGAAAATAAAGCGAAAGGTAAAGTCACTTCCCAAAGTGATCAAGTTTATGTTGTAAGATTACCAAATGGGGTGAGTACCTGTCTGGTATCCTTCTTCCACCTGCATGGCCTGGTCCGTGATCACCATCACCTCCATGTCGTTTTCTTTTGCGGAATGGCTTCTTACCAAAGTTTTCGTCGGTCATGGTCGAGAAGCAGAAAGGACAACCTTAAAACCACAATCCAACCAACATTTTCTTGAAGGTAGAGGAGCCAACAAACATTTTAATTAAGAAGCGGTAAGAAGAAATCTTAATGAAGAGGATAAATGCTCTGGAGGGTTTAAAGGGCGGGAATAGTTCGTCCGTTATAATGGAGCGCGGAAACATAACGAGCCGCTGATAGAGTCTGCGCATGCTCCGACTTCCAGCAGCGGTCCTACATTCCTGCTAGTCACGTTTCAATGTCGGCATAATTTCGTGTCACAGCGATTAGGGCTATGCGCACTAATTCTAGTATCTGCTTATGACGCAACGTTACGTAAAGCTGAAATGAACGAAAGACAAAAGGTGGATTCCTTCGTAGAGGAATCCACTCTCCTATTGTCCCTGCTTGCTTGGGCTTTTTTTCTCATCGATCGTATTTATCCCTTCACAAATACGATCTCATAAATGCGAACTGGGTATCTCGTCTAGAGTTCCTTCAATTGTGATTGCTGCGCCACACAATCACTTGATGGGGTTTCTATTTTGTTACAATAATGTTCATAATATTGAAGATCAATTGAACGCAAGAACATTCACATCTGGACTCTATGCGAGCTGATAATGGCCAGCGGAGTGGAAACTCGAAGTAGAAGCAGTCCTTCCTTCACTCCATCCGATGCCCCTTCCCTTTCTTACCCTTTTCACGCGTACCTCTACTATTACGATGGTAGAGACATCTTAGAGGGATTTTAACGTCCCGTGAATGTGTGACACCGTAACCACTAATACCCCACGGGTGTTTTGGAGGCGCTTCAGCGTGTGTTTGGGTTCTGTGTCATAAATTCACGGGACAATAAAATCCGTCTTGTTAGAGACTTACCCTTTTACACAACCCCTTCTATAAGTTTCTATAGACATTCAACTCGAAATTCGGAAATCATTGGGTGCAGCTTTACAAGGCTGAAAATAACTGAGAATAGTCATGAGCGGAGGTGTACGTGGCAAGTGGCGCACTATTGCACATGCACGGCCACGGGTTCGAACCTCGGCTTTATATCCGTTTGGGCAGGCCATCCAAGCCTTTCATCCTTCCGGGGCCGCCTAATTAGTACCAGACTCGTCGGGGAGGATAAAAGCACTGACTTTACATCGGCTGGTCACCGCCAGTTAGCAATAGGCCACATACGCATTCAATACGACGATTCTGAATGAAAGACGAATGTAGGGGCGCATCCCTCACTATCGAGGGATAATCGGCGTCAATCAATCCCGGTCCCTTTCCTTTCCTAAGTCAATGTGACTGGCTGATGACCTGTGTATTTCAATAGGGCTACGAAAGAAAAGGAAATATCTTGCATATGAAGTTCTGTGCCCACTGCATTTCATTTCACCGTAAGGTCACTGTAGAAACATAGAGCCTATGCTGAATTTGCGTTGCTGCAAAGGAATTTGTGATTGGGATTCTCTCAGTACGGACACCGCATGGTAGGCGCAACTTCATCGCTCTATCTCTCCAGCAACCT